GCGAGAGAGATATATATATATATAGAGAGAGAGAGAGAGAGAGAGAGAGAGAGCGATAGAGCGAGAGAGCGAGAGAGATATATATATATATAGAGAGAGAGAGAGAGAGAGAGAGAGAGAGCGATAGAGCGAGAGAGCGAGAGAGATATATATATATATAGAGAGAGAGAGAGAGAGAGAGAGAGAGAGCGAGAGAGCGAGAGAGCGAGAGAGATATATATATATATAGAGAGAGAGAGAGATGTAGTCAGGCGTCCACTTGTAGCTACGTTACAAGCGTGAGTCGTTAGCAACCACGAACAACTTCACTTATTGATTACGCCATGAGAGAAATAAAATTGTGACGCCAAACTGCGTTCACGCACCGGGCAACGGTTAGTGTCGAACTGGAAGCGGAGGAGAACGGGGCAACCTTTCCAGCGGAGAGTATACATCATCATCATCGTCCACTCGCACACGGACAGACGAAGAGGTGGCGCGCTTTATTCTAACAATCGTCTGCGGGTTAGGCCTGCTCACGTTCGGTAAGAAAAATTACTATCCATGCTGGTTTTTCTGCTGCTTTGTCCTCCAGCAACTAGCATCTCGCATAAAAATTGCATATATACCTACTGTATTGCTACTTTCACAACATTTCTTCATAAAATCTAAACGAAATTTACGAAAGTAGCACCACAGGATGTTTACAGTGTTTACACATGCGGTACACAGCCGAGCGAACGTTGTGCTGCATTAACAGTTTATTTCTGTGATAACACATGTTATACTTTATTGATCGATGTTTACTTGGTACGAAATTGTGAAATTTGTTTAAATCACGTTATCTACATTACATATGCAATCAGGAAACAAATATAGTGTTTTTGTTCCAGGAACTATTTGCACTAGCGTAGGGCTACTATTTAGCGTCCTCTGACACTTCGCTCCGTATAATTTATTTGTATTTGCAAGTATGCTCACAGTATGTGTATATAGGCTTTTTGTTGCGAGGTTTTATCTACTTTAATGGCCTGGTTACGTACAACACTGGTCGATGCATTCGAATCCTCGACGATCCATCGTTTAAAGCAGCGCCATGAATAATTGCTGTTGCTACAATGGCCGGCTTCGTTGTTAAGTAAGTTAACCCCGTTCCCGTAGAGACAGTCGTGGAGACCCGCGTCTGTGTGCGTGGCTGGGTAGTGTATGTTTCGTATTCATTACAAATAAAACGAGACGTGAATCAAACAACATGTTTATTGATCGACTGTATGCAAATCAAGCTGCAAAGCAACACGTCATAGTGACCAAAGTCAATCAAACAGCAGACTGCTTTACTGATCACAAGTTGATTGTTTGTAAGAGTCATTTAACCATAAAACCAAAGAAGAAGGGCACAAAGCCTTCCAGAAAGCTTGACACTGGCCTCAACAATAAAAGAAAAGAAATGCTGGAACAGTTCTTGAATGAAAATTTGTCTGATTGCAAAGAACATTGGGAAGAACTCAGAGAAGTGCTTCAAAATGCAACCAAAAACGTATTTGGAAAGAAGTAAAAGAAACAGAATGACTGATTTGACGAGCAGGATGGAGAAATCAGAGAGCTACTTCAAAATAAGAAACTGAACAGGAATGCTCTTGGTAGGGGCCGGTAGTTTGCGTATTGCCCGTATAGGACGTTCCCCCGGTCGCGGTCGCGTGCGCCTTGCCGCGGAACTGCGCGCAAGATTCGCGCTTAGCGGGCAGGATCAACATCTCTCAGGCGACGCTTCTTTGGTGTGCGGTCTCTCATCTGGTTCTATAGCCCAGCGGGAGTTAATGTAAGTAGGCTATAGTACTAGAGCTAGCAGAATGCACGACAACCTTTTCACTATTTATGGCCGTGTTACATAGAAAATCAAAGAAATACCTAAAGCTGTCGCTTTATTAACATCTTACCTTCACAGCACAACACACACACGCGCGCGCGCACACACACGCGCGCGCACACCACGCGCACACGGACCGCACCCACACACGCGCACACAACGCACGGCGGACACACACATGTCACCAAACGCACACACACACGGCACTACTAACTTTTATGTAAGTGTGGACATCCCATTGCATCTCTAAAACGACAAGACGCATCCGCTAACGTCGCTGTGGAGAGCGTGCGCGTCGGGCTCCCAATTTGCGGCACGTCTCCACTGCGGGCAGCGCTGAAATCTTGAACATCGCCCCGCGGTCGGTGCGCATATCCCGCGGAACTCGCGTCTCATCCGCGCGCCAGCGCTCAGGATCTAACAGCAAACTGTGCCAACGCAATCTTGTATCATAGTCTCTCTGATGTGGCTAAAATATTGGACGACAGCTGTACGTCATTGAAGCGACGAAACAAGCTACACAATAGCAGCGGCTCAACTTAGACGCCTATTGGTTCTGATTGACCCCAGAGAAAAAAATCACGCGCACTGGATAGCGATGATTTCATTGGCCGGTAAGAAATGTCGTATCTTCCGCTAATGCAAGATTCCATTTGTTTTGAATAGCGAAGTTTGCGTGATTTTTAATGTCGTGATGTTTAATAAAATAAACGTGATTAAAAGAGGAGAATACTGCAGACAGTGTTTTGTAATGAGAGTAA